GGCGTCTAGCGAAGCCATAAAAAAGAATTTTCAAAAAATAAATTTATTTTGGACACTTGTATACCAATGCCTTTCAACACACAAAATATAAAGGAAATCTATTTTCCGAAGTCAAAGTCATCGGACCGCTCTTAGCGGGACTGCCACTTAACAACGATATATGAGGAATAAAATATTCACAATCAGCCACTCAGCGACACGCTAACCTATTTCGTACGTTTGCCTTGTGAAGTCGTTTGCCGATAAAGTAAAACCCTGCTTGTGTTATTTTAACAATCAAAGAGGAATGCCCCGAATAATGGTGAGTTAATGGGTGTGTTCGTGAGGTTGTTTGCTCGCGCGTGCGTTCAACGCATGAGAGCCTGCGTTCATTAGTCCAGCGTATGCTCCTGGCATATTGCGGCAAATGTTGATGCTGTTTTATCGCATTTTGTGAATCAACTTTCTAACAACATTCTCTCATCCTCACAACGCTGAAACAATTAAAATATTTTAATCTGGATGATCGTACAATACATTAAATTAATGGAAGAACCCGGATTCAAGCCCTTCAGTGCACTTTGTAATTGTTAATAAATATGTATATTTGCCATAAAAAGACGATGAAATAAAGCGAACAATGTTACTATTAAATATTTATTCTATGACTATAGTCAACTCATTTAGATCTAGCAAATTTAAGCTTAAAAATATGGCCAAAAAGACGCTTGTTCTCCGGATAAAAACTTCCAATATTTAAATCATGACAAAGGTTGTCAAATTCACAAGTTCAAATTAAAATGGCATTTATAAACTTATCGAATCCAATAAACCTAGAAATTCAGTACAAAAAACTGTCAGTGAAGGTTAGTTCTGAATACAATTTCCGATTTTAATTTAAAGTCGCGAAGTTAGCTGTTTTTGCTCGTCTAGCTGGCTTTGATGTCAATTTTTTGAAAAATTGTTGGTAAAAGTTATCGAAATAAAAGTTATCGTCGTTTTCCTGTTGGTAAAAGTTATCGAATGATGCAAAAAGTTGTTAATTCGCCAATTGATCTTGAAAACAAAATCGCTCGCTCCTACAGTCACCATGTCGTTCGATTGCAAAGTGACGACTCCTATACTGTCATGCATAGCGGGGGGGGGGGCATCGCTATAAGGAAGTGGCCCATTGCTTATAAATTATGCACATGCATTGCCGAAACTTGCTTTTTGTTCCAATTCGCGCCATAAGTTTGCCAAGTGGAAAACGGACTTTGGAAGCGGGTCATCAAGTGAACCCTTGAAGCACATTGAATCAACCACAGAAATAAACAACAAATCTCAAATAAATTAAGTCGCTGCAAAATATAAATGCCCTCTTTTCCTTAGTAATACTTTACATTATATGCGCTCGACCTATATACGGTTGAATTAACACATCTTAAGCGGCATCAGACATCAGTACTTACCAACCACAGTTATAGATGGTGACCTGTGCTCATCGCAGCATTTTCCATTTGCAATACATCGGTAAGTATATGGAAATTTGTTGTCCTTCGGAAAATCCTCTAAATGCCCAACTTTGGCATTTAACAAAGTGCTGTTTATAAGTTTGGATTCACCATCTGAGTTGTTTCTTATCCAACGAATCATATCTACGTCCCCAGTAACCTCACAACTTAGTGAAATCGGACCAGGTGGTAAATATTTTGTCTTTTCTTTCGGATTTCCAAGAACAAAGCTTATGTTGCTTGGTTGTGTAGGAACACAGTCTAACGTAAAAAAAGGAAAATAAGTTAAAGTCACCATATGAGGAAACTCAAATTTTATGGTACCACTGTATACTGCAATTTCTAAAATACACATTTCTTCGTCATTGAATTGACAAAAAGGCTTCGGCAGCCATTTTGAAAATCGCTTAGGTGTTTATCGCGTATTAATCACCTCAACGGCAACCAATCAGCGTGGAGAATTTTCAATAATCACCTATGTAATTATACTAATAATAATTATTCATAAAGAAAAGACAGAAGAAATCACTGCCGTATCGGTGGTTAATTTACACAAACTTTAGCTTTGATTTTCTTGGCTTAAACAACTTTATTTTTAAAATTACTTCGCCAATGTACTCATCAGATAGGTCGTTTTTTAAGCTATTCAAATTAAAACCCTCGTAGTCCGTGCGTTATCAGATATAAAATACCCGAGCTGCGCTCTTGTTTTGTAGCTGATAAACCACTCCCGCACTCGTGTTTGAAGTAGTGCGTACATAAACAAGGGCTAGTAGTATGAAACACATATTATCCACTTAAGTATGAAAATAGAAATTTTGCAATTTATTATAGCAATTGACTGGTTAAAAAAGAAACTAGTTCACTAGAAAATTACTTTCCAAGTTTTAATTATGTAGTTATACTTTGTTAATTTATTTCAAAGGCTTTATTAACGCGGATTTCCAGTCCTCGCACGAAATTCCTCGCGGCTCGCTGCGAGTGATGCATGAGCACTTTCATCCAATCACGATGCTAAACAGTTCATTTTAATTACAGAAGCTTCGTGCGAGGACTGGAAAACCGCCTTGTATAAGAAACACACCTGCTTTTATTCTGCACAATTCCATTTTTTGTGGCATAGTAAATGTAATAGCAGAAAGGAATACTATCCAAGCGGTCAGCTCCATGTTAAACTCTCCCAATTAAAGGAGTAAAATATTTCTTCTGTCGACCAGACGATTGGTTCTAATAAAAAGTAATAACATTGTACATATTAAATTTAACGGTAATCATATTGTTACATACAATTACGTTCATTCATGCATCTCATTCATGCAACATTGTATATAGGAATTTTAACATTCTGGGACTTACGGAATCAAGAGTTGAACACGAAGATCTTATCCCACGAATGAACTAAATAAAACTTGAAATACTTGAATGCATGCAGTAGGCAGTAACCCCTCCCCTTTTTAATCAAATAGTAATGTTTTTAGTCATTTTCAACATGAAGTATATCAATTAGCCATGCACAGATGACTGCAATGTACAAATGATAAAGTTCAATCGTATTATTTTATTTTTAATTAAGAATGTTTGCATATCATGCAAAATTTTTACTTTTACTTATAGAATTTTCATTTTTTATTAAATATATGATGTAAACATATGACATTATAACTGCGTGTACATATGATTTGTAAAGATCAACAAAGTTAAGTGTTTAGCACTTGATAAGCCCCGGCCGAAGAAGAAAGAGGGTAGATGAGTGTCAATGAAATCAGTATTATAGTGGGAACATTACTAACTCTGATTAGGGAAATTGCTGTTTGATGAGTGTTATAAGTTATCCTTCCAAGTTTTAATTGACAATTTTTATTCCTCGTGTGTACGGCAAAAACGGCAGTGTTTCCTTGCCAAGGATTGAGCCTAGTTCTAAAGCTATGCGAACTGTTGGAAGAAGAAAGTTTGTTCGTATGTATAATTACGCGGTCAACGAGGAAAACTTGGCAATAGTGGCAAGAAGGAAACTTCTATGATTTTGGTAAACAAAATGCAGCATTGATCAAAGATAAATGTTTAATTAAGAACTTTCTGCACACATGAGCAGCACTGCTTGTCAAGGGAAACTTGTCAAGAAAAACTTGTTGACCGTATACGAGAAAGTATACTTGTGAAGGAAAATGTTTTTGTCGGTATGTGGCTTTAAGGACAGCTAATGAAGCCATCGACAATGGCAGACAACAACATTACTTATTTTTATGTAAGTTTTAAAGATTGTTTTCCTCTATAGGCGGGATTTTGCGCGTGGTGCGCAATTTTTCTATGTCTCGTGATTTGTTGGGTGCATAACTAGAACTAATTAGAAAAGAGAAAGAAAACTTTGGCTCTGCCCGTTAACTGTAATTGACGTGGTTAATATGAGCTGTGAAAATAATGTAAATATAACTTGGCAGTTTGAAGAACTACAGCGTACTAGAATTCTGAAGAGAATGGGTAGTTTAGGTATGTGACATAGACGTCAGACTGCCAAGGGTCGGGCGGGGAGGGGGGATGACTGGATTAAAAACTCTATTTGTGTCAGTTTGTGCATCGTAATATTCAACGCTCTGTAATTATGACTTTTCTTCCGGCTTACATGCATGAACGTTTTGATGCAAATGCCGTCAAAATTTGTCATACAAGTTTTCGGATGACGTCCGTATGTGTTAATAAAAACGTCCCTTGCTTAAGCTTAAAGCCTAGTTTCCATATGGTTGTAACGGTCGTAAAAATTGACACACATGCACCATCAGTTTCTCATCAGCCGAAATAAACATTTTAGAACTGAAAATACGCGGAGTAAACAAGTTTTCGTTGGTAGGGACTTCCCCCCAAATATATAAGGAGAATTTCGATGTTTTGAGCGAAGGTCCTTTGTCTGGAGTTCCTATAGCGGCGATCGGGAAAACTACCTGAGCTTTTATACAAAATAGGTGAAGCAAGTATGGAATAAGGTAAGAATTAAAAGTACTGTCAACGTCTGCTTTAGAGAAATACGCGGAGTGATTATATAACTAGAGATTACTTATACAGGGTGTATCAAAATAAACGCAATTCATCTTTTGTGCTTAATAACTTTCGAAATACTATTTCTAGTTAAACGCTTTTAGGCTTATTTCAAAGCCTGTTCTTTTCTCTTTCAAACAAACTAGTATCCTTGTCTCCAATTTGCTAGTAATAATTGCACAGGAAAAGATTTAGTAAAACCTATCATTTTTAGTTGCTGTTTAATTATGCAAGTTTACTATGTTATTGTTTAGTCGGTTTAAATGTTAGAATTTTCTTCTTTAAACTTTAATGTTGTCGTCACTACATCTGGAAAACCACGTAAGAACAAATTGAAAGTATTTTAAAAGAGACCAGGTTGTTTGAAAATCCTAAACGAATGCTAAAAATCGTCAAAACATTCTGGTGTCTGAGCCAGAGTGTCATCGAATTGCGATGTAATGTAAACAGAAATTATAGCAAGTTGATGTCAGTCAGCTTAGATGGTCCAAGCCAAAATTATATCGCATTTGAAGTTTCAAACTGAGTTAAAAATAGTGGAAGAAAAGCCGTAATTATGCTTATTGTTACAATCCATTTAATAAAATGCAACATTTTTTTGTTTTAATGAAAAAATCAGTTATTTTCATGAGAACTATTTGTTATTCCATCTCAATTTTTTTAATCTCCAATCGCAATAACGTAAAGTATTATTACCCGCGAACCAATGAGTCAAATTTAAGAAACAACCCACTGTTAGAAAGCTGAATGGCTACGCTTTAAAATGAATGTAAACTTTAACGTTTTCGTCTATTATTTGTTTAGCAATTTACATTTCAGTCGAGGATTGCGCTTTTTTTGATACACCCTGTATATGGTCTGTCTTGAGTGTATATGTAGCAAATGAAAGTTCTAGTTATCAACGTTAAGCTATATAAACAAGCTGGCCTTTCATTACCGACTTTGACAATGGTAATTTTAATTAATCCATCAGCTTAACTTGTCATCTAGTTAATTGGGTTCTATTGCTTTAACATGCACATATTAGGCTAGCAGTAATTCATTGCTATATAGTATATAAGATGATGATACTATTTGTACTCGTACTGTGAAAATCGAAAAGGTTACTTTTCTCGAGGTTACAGTTCTTCAATATACTTATATTGTGCATTTTATTTATATTACTTTTACACATCAATTTTTTAAGCATAATGAGTAATGACATACATGTAATTATAAAATGCATTTATAATGCTACCTAATGAGCAAAATGAAATCAGCGTATGTAGTTCGCGATTCGAGAAATAAGTGTCATTCTCGTTTCTCTCAAATTAATTTCAACAAAGAAAGTCACTGCCAGCACATGTTATTGTTTCTTCCGCAAGCTTGACTAAAGTGTTTTCGCTCTGCTTTTATTCAAATTTATTTGTGATTTTTTTCTGTTTCCCCCTGTATTTTTGCTGGGTTTTACAATGGGAAAGTTCTGATTTCCACTGTGCGTTTTTCATACGTACGTATACGCACGTAAAACTTTAAATCCGTTTAAATGTTACTTATCAAATAACCAGATAAATAAAGCAACAGAATTTAGTGTTCCGCAAGTTTTAGTATGCATTTGTTAACTTATTTGTAAAATGCTTAAAAAATGGAACGATTCAAAGTTTTACGTGCGTGTACGTGCGTAGGAAAAACGCAACAGTGGACTCGAGCCATACAATAAGAGGCCCAGTTCAAGACTCGAAAGGCGTGCTAGCGAAGTCGAAGATCGTGGCAGCTCGAGAAGCCGTCATGGTCATATCAATAACTCTGTGTCAATAACACAGAAATCATGTTTGCAATCCTTAAGCCCCGGTTGATAAGAGTTTGACAAGGAAGAGTTTGCATAAGAGTTTCATCAATTTCCGGGGCGATTGATAAAAGTTGACCATAGATACTAAAGCCGCTTTTCCACTAGGCGGAATTTTGGGCGCAGAGCGGGATTTCCTTTTCTAATTAGTTCCAAGACAAAGAAAGATTCCGCTCCGCGCGCAAAATCCCGCCTAGTGGAAAACCGGCTTAACAGTGACGAGCAACAGCTCTCATCAACCCTCATAAAAAATTGAATCAGTACGTGACTTATGCGTGTACTGTACTGTACTGTACTGTACTGTACTGTACTGTACTGTACTGTACTGTACTGTACTGTACGTGTATGTATCAGTGTATTTATTGATAGCCGAATTCATATCACTGGGAAAAATGTGAAATTCATACTATGGATTTTTTTTCTTTGTTGTTGTTGTGTACTCAGGTGAATATGATGTTTGTGATGTTACTCTGAGTGTATATCCACACCGGGCGAGCTTGAAAAATACCGGCCACGGTGGGAATCGAACCTACGACCTTTGAAATACTAGCCCAATGCTCTGCCAACTGAGCTAAGCGGTCAGGTCGGTTCGAGTAAATGATATTTCGGAACAGAATCTAGTTCCTTCGATACCATTATAATCTAGTATTATACCAACACAGAAATGATTAATCTAGTATTTATACCAACTATGATTATACCAACACAGAAAAAAATCATATTACTAGATTACATTGGTATCGAAGGAACTAGATTCTGTTCCGAAATATCACATACTCGAACCGACCAGACCGCGTAGCTCAGTCGGCAGAGCATTGGGCTAGTATTCCAAAGGTCGTAGGTTCGATTCCCACTGTGGCCGGGCATATTTTTCAAGCTTGCCCGGTGTGGATATACACTCAGAGTAACATCACAAACTTCATACTATGGAATTCGCAAATGCATCACTAAATCCATATATAATCATACTATTTCCGTACTATATCCATAGTATAGAAATTGCAATAACTATGAAAATTGGATTTCCCTATACTACTTCCAACGACGACCCGTACTACTATTTCTAATAGTAAGGATTTTGAAAAAAAATTCCAGTGAAAGACGGGAAACTCATCTTTGGCGGGAAACTCGTCTATGAAAACCCGTCTGAATATAAAGTTGGGAACGGAAATCCGCCCAATCCATTTATTTGGGATATATAATTTTATATGTTAAAGCTTGCGCATCATTTTTCTTTGACAGGGCAATCAGGGTATGTTGATTGCAAGTCCCAAAGAGCTGCAAGTATCCATTGTTGATTATGTTGTGGTGTTTGAAGGAACGAAGAAATATCATGTCGCTATTGCTGATGTTGTAAATCCATACACACTCTACGTGGTCATACCAGGTTTGTTTTCATAATCTGATATTTTGTTGGTGTCTGAACTACACACATGTGGAACCGCGCAAGTTGTTACAGTTCTACAAACAAGTTGTAGCAAGGCCTTCTTTGTCGAGCCGATATATGGTGCGCAGTGGCAAGGGGCCTCCCTTGTTAGAAGTTCAAGGAGGCTGAGCACCCCGGTTTGGGGGTGTCCCTCTCAATATTTTTGCGGATTGGATATTCATAACCTATTTGTAACTGTAGTGTTGAAGTGATGTTAGTAATGTGTACTTGATTACTATGATCATTATCACGTATGCGTGACTGGACAGTTGATGTAGCACAGTACGGTAAATTAGCTTGTTAAAGCTCGTGTTAAAGTACAGTGTATTATTTTGAAGATATGGCTGTATAACAACATCGACATGTTTACATGTTTAACTATGATATTTAACTAAAGCGTTCTGGGTAAACTCACAAATCAGTTAAATCTTTTCAAGAAATTGACACGCGCTAGTAGTAGAAGTTCCGCTAATCGCTATTCGAAAAACAAAACATTTATGGTAAAGTGGATTTTTTATAGGGTGGTGCTGGACTTTTCTAAGGAGGTGCTAGACACCACTCCCCTGAACGCCCACGGTAGATCCGCCCACGTTTATTAGTATGGAAATTGGAAGTATTGAAACAAACAATTGAACTTAATTAATTCACTTCATTTCAGAGCATGATATCGCGGAAGAGGTTGTGGTGAAAGTGTATGTATGTCAAGATAACAACCTGAATATCCTAACACATCTCAAGTTCACGTACATCTCGCAAATGGAACATGCCATTGCGAAGTTTCTAGCTCATAGTGCCTCGGATGCGGAGGTCGCTGAAAAGCTTGACGCTTTGTGGACGGTTTGCTTGGGGAAAGATCACTTGGAACTCTGGGATAAGAGGCTGGCTCAAGCATTTGCACAACTGGAATTGCCTATTGAGTGGACGTTAGTCGGAGATATATTGCAAAAAGGTACCATATAGATTTTCAACTCGTAGAGATAGGAAAAACGTTTTTCATACAAATACAATTTCTGACACTTCAGAAAAAGACGGCCGAAATTCGCTCTCCAACGTGGAGTAAAATGATCCACAATCGGTTAGCCGAACTCCGAATATCCGAACGGATTCATTTTTGTTCTGCACTAAAACCGCATATTGTGGATTGATATTATCGCATGAAAATCTTCTTGTAATAGATCAAATTTTAATTTAGCCCTTTCTGGATACAATAAAACTTACTAGGTGAAATATACATACAGTGTACGTGTTCTACGTTTTCCCTCTACATTAAATCAAACCGCATATAACGTTTTGGGGGACTTCCGGTATACGTGTTCCTCGCTCGAAACGTCGAAGTTCTACTTATAGTATATCCTTCGAAGTTCTACTTATATATAGTATATCCTTCGAAGTTCTACTTATATACGGTATATCCTTCGAAGTTCTACTTATATATAGTATATCCTTCGAACTGTTCGAAGTTCTACTTATATATAGTATATCCTTCGAAGTTCTACTTATATATAGTATATCCTTCGAAGTTCTACTTATATATAGTATATCCTTCGAAGTTCTACTTATATATAGTATATCCTTCGAAGTTCTACTTATATATAGTATATCCTTCGAAGTTCTACTTATATATAGCATATCCTTCGAAGTTCTACTTATATATAGTATATCCTTCGAAGTTCTACTTATATCTAGTATATCCTTCGTAGTTCTACTTATATATAGTATATCCTTCGTAGTTCTACTTATATATAGTATATCCTTCAAAGTTCTACTTATATATAGTATATCCCTCGAAGTTCTACTTATATATAGTATATCCTTCGAAGTTCTACTTATATATAGTATATCCTTCGAAGTTCTACTTGTATATTACATAGTATATCCTTACTTCAGTATATCCTTCACACCGGGGCTGTCTGTCAGCCGATTATGTCTATTGTTGATTAAGGATTTATTTCGACCAAAGCAGGAGCAGCTGCGAGAAATGCAACTATAGGTCCTATCAATACAACTATAAACCTTAAAGGGGAAGTCAAGTCCGTAATGTAAACAAACGGTTTGTTTACATTTTGAACTGCTGTATTTTTTAAAATATGATGTATTGTCGGAATATCTAACACCATTTTGATTCGCTATGCTTCTAAATGAATATGAAATAAAGTTTATGTTCAGAAAAATTCGAAATTTGGGCAATGTTCACATTAGAGGTCCTCACATTGTTATGCGCAGAACCGATGCGCAGAACGGATGCGCAGAACGGACTTGACTTCCCCTTTAAGCCTGGTTCACACTAGCCTGCATGGCAGGCGGTCCCTAAAATCGGGCAAGCCTGGGCGACCACCTGCCATGTAGGCTAGGTTCACACTAGCAATTTTCTCGGCGATTTTGTATTTCTGATGGATGCAAATGAGTGAACTCGCACACAAAAGCACAGAATACTACACAGAAGTCCATCTCCATTGTTTTTAGCGTAAGCTCTATTCGTCATGATTCGTCACTCGGCAAGTACCGTAAACAGAAGCAGTCCTCCCCTGGAAATACTAAAAATGGCCCACGTCCAGGGCACAGAATAGGAAGTTATACCAGAAGCGTAACTCTAGTCGTTTCCCTTATTGTTTGACGTCCACGAAAATTTTAACTCGCTCACGTCAGGCAACGCCATCCTGGCTAGTACAGCCGGAAGTTTTTATCAGGATTTGGTAGGTACAAAGTGCCGGTTGTACTAGCCAGGATGGCGTGATTGATGACGAATCGCTTGTAAAAACGCGGACAAATATTTGTTCGAGTTACGCTTCTGGTATAACTTCCTATTCTGTGTCCAGGGGGTGACTGCTTCTGTTTACGGTACTTGCCGAGTGACGAATCATGACGAAAAACGCGTACGCAAAAAAACAATGGAGATGGGCTTCTGTGTAGTATTCTGTGACAAAAGTATAGAATCGCTTTTCAGAAGTAAACAATTCTAAGTCTTTTGCATCTCGTTCATTCGATCACATTTGCCAGGAGGAGAAAAATCGCCGACAGAATTGCTAGTGTGAACCAGGCTTTACCATGACATCACCTTAGTACATATACATGAACTTGGGCTAGTATTCCAAAGGTCGTAGGTTCGATTCCCACCGTGGCCAGGCATATTTTTCAAGCTTGCCCGGTGTGGATACACACTTAGAGTAACATCACAAGCATCTTATTCACCTGAGTACACTACACCAACACAGCAAATATCATGATTATTAGATTACACTGCTATCGAAGGAATTAGACTCAGTTCCGAAATATCGCATACTCGAACCGACCTGACCGCGTAGCTCAGTTGGCAGAGCATTGGGCTAGTATTCCAAAGGTCGTAGGTTCGATTCCCACCGTGGCCAGGCATATTTTTCAAGCTTGCATGCCCGGTGTGGATATACACTCAGAGTAACATCACACAAGCATCTTATTCACCTGAGTACACTACACCAACACAGCAAATATACATGAACTTGTTTTAAATACTTTATTGGATAGTGACCAAACGGTAGAAGTGCGAACGGGACTCGAGGTCCCATGCGAGGCACTCCTTCGATTAAAGATACAACAACGGACAATACATGTAGTATAAAATATACATAACTGCGGTCATAAATAAACATATGCCACCAACTCGAAAATCAAAGCTAAGATTTATGATGCTTAAAAAAATTTAGTGATAGCAATAATACCTTCAAATGATGTAAGGAACATTAAAAATGCTAGATGCGCGACCAGGATTCATAATAAAGTTTCTGAAACGTTCTCTGATCGTAAATTTTTTTTATTTGAAACACAGGCTTTCGACTGCCAGTCTGCAGTCTTCGACAGGTAAAGTGATAATAAACTATTCAGAATAGTTTATTATCACTTTACCTGTCGAAGACTGCAAACTGGCAGTCGAAAGCTTGTGTTTCAAATAAAAAAATTTACGATCAGAGAACGTTTCAGAAACTTTATGTAAGGAACAATTGAATATAAAGTTTTAAATATAATCAAGCAATAGCATATGTTTATCTCACACGTTAAACTCTATGACATGAGCAAGTTCGATGTATAATGACTACGTACAGGCCATGTCTACGTCGTAATAAGAGATTAGTAAATGTAAATATGTTCTTGATAAAAACATAGTTAGGCTACTTAAGTCTGAAGGTTTAGCAGTTCTACACATGCGGTTCCAAAGGGGAACGATACGATTAAAGTACGATTTGTGGTTGGAGCTCGACAACTGGACTCTGTAGCTCAGTTGGTTAGAATCACCGGAATCGCAGCGCCACAGGTTCCATTTCTGCTAATGGGCCTATAGGTGCATTTTCACAATGCTCCTGGTTAGGTCTGAATTCACACACGAAGTTTCCATCGACCAAATCCTTGAACGTTATACAGGGTGTATAAAAAAAAAGCGCAATCCTCGACTGAAATGTAAATTGCTAAACAAATAATAGACGAAAACGTTAAAGTTTACATTCATTTTAAAGCGTAGCCATTCAGCTTTCTCACAGTGGGTTGTTTCTTAAATTTGACTTATTGGTTCGCGGGTAATAATACTTTACGTTATTGCAATTGGAGATTAAAAAAATTGAGATGGAATAACAAATCGTTCTCATGAAAATAACTGATTTTTTCATTAAAACAAAAAATGTTGCATTTTATTAAATGGATTGTAACAATAAGTATAATTACGGCTTTTCTTCCACTATTTTTAACTCAGTTTGAAACTTCAAATGCGATATAATTTTGGCTTGGACTATCTAAGCTGACTGACATCAACTTGCTATAATTTCTGTTTACATTACATCGCAATTCGGTGACACTCTGGCTCAGACACCAGAATGTTTTGACGATTTTTAGCATTCGTTTAGATTTTCAAACAACCTGGTCTCTTTTA